AGCTATAAAAACTACACATTGGTTACTGTGTGTGGGAACCTACAGGAAGCCCATCTGGGTGGAGTGCCTGGAACATTCCAGCTGGTACACAGCTACCTAAACATCAAGCTGCCCACGCCACCGCCGGGCCTGCAGGTGAGGCTAGGCCCCATCAGCACAGTGCGACGCCTGAAGCACAGACGCTGTGGGGCCAGTGATTAATGAAGCTTATGGGAGCGGTGCGTGGTCCTGTGGGTTATGAACCTGTGCCCATGATCGGTCAGTTGTCAGTTCGAATCCCATGGCCGGCAGTGATCCTATTACCATTGCGCCCTTGAAGGCCCTTAATCGCTGAAACTGCTCCAGTGGTGCTGGAGAGATGGCCAGCCATGTTCTCTGACACCGAGCTTTTCTCTCACTTTTGTGTGTCCCATAGACATAAGATCCCATATGGGAAAACAAAGAATTCCTTTATACTTGTATAAATGACAACTTCTGTTAATTTCATTGCTGAATTCCCATCATTCAGTGTGTTTTTAAGTGGGAGTAGGAAGGCATTAGGTGGCATTAGTCATTAAGAGACTGTGTTCTCGAGTAGGACGGGGAGGTGGAGGGCCACCCTGTGTGGGCACTCATCTACTACTGCCTGCGCTGTGGGGACCTGGCGGCAGCCATGAAGGTGGTGAATCGCGCCCAGCACCAGCTCGGAGAGTTCAAGCATTGGTTTCAGGAATACATGAACAGCCCGGACCGCCGGTGAGCTGGAGGTCCCTCTTGACCTGGCATGTGCGCGCGCACACAAAGATACACACAGCATGGGTTACGTTTCTTTGTTTAGAATGCTGTGTAACTGGGTGGAGGGTGGTGGCCGTCGGGGGAATATATCACACACACGCTTCACATTCAGTTTGTTTCCTCGAAAGGAATGTCTGGGTTGAAGGTAACTGCTGAAAGAGTTGAGTCAGAATACATTTTTTTCTTTCCTTTTTTTTTTTTTTAAAAACTGAATGGTAACTAGTGCTCTCATGTATTTCTGTGGTGCTCCAGATTAGCCCCACCCGCAGAGAATAAGCTCCGCCTCCACTACCGCCGTGTGCTGAGGAACTGTGCTGACCCCTACAAGCGGGCTGTGTACTGTCTGTTAGGGAAGTGTGACATCACAGACAATCACAGCGAGGTTGCTGACAAGACCGAGGACTACCTGTGGCTGAAGGTGAGTTTCGGTGGGTCGGTGAGTGATGAAAGGCCACTCTTCAGTGTATGTGAAGTCGTTGAGATGAAAGTGCTGCACTGTGCAGACTCTGTCTTGCATCCCTGTGTGCAGCTTAACCAGGTGTGTTTTGAGGACGACGGAGGCTCCTCCCCTCAGGACAGGCTGACCTTGACCCAGCTGCAGAAACAGCTACTAGAAGATTATGGTGAGTCTCATCACTTCCTGGAGATTGATCTTGGCCTGGATGCCAGCATGGTCCAGTTAAGTTTCCACTTGGAACTGCTGCTTCTGGCTGTTCTGCTGCCTGAATGCATGTGGTGTGCCGCTCTCTCCCTCTCACATAGGTGAATCCCACTTCTCTGCCAGCCAGCAGCCGTTCCTCTATTTCCAAGTGCTCTTCCTAACTGCGCAGTTTGAGGCAGCTGTGGCCTTCCTGTTCCGCATCGAGCGTCTGCGCAGCCACGCTGTCCACGTGGCTCTGGTCTTGCATGAGCAGCGCCTGCTTCTCAAGGCATCTGGCCAAAGTGCCCAGCTCCGTGAGTGCCCCCCCCCCCCGCTCCCCACGTGCCCTCACAGGTGATGTGTATTCGTGTTGCCCTGGACCCGATTCCATTCCGGTTCATCTCTCCCGGCTCAGTGAGCCAGGAGCCCGGTGACCCACCCATGATGCGTCGGCTGAACTTCATCCGGCTGCTGATGCTGTACACGCGCAAGTTTGAGTCCACTGACCCGCGGGAGGCGCTGCAGTACTTCTACTTCCTGCGGTATGAGTGCCGGGACTTTATGCGCTTCCCTCACTGCTGGGGGGTCTGTGAGATCTGATTCTACGTTCCACCATTTGTGGAAAATACAGCTCTGTTCTGTTTGGCCCACAGGAATGAGAAGGACAGCCAAGGGGAGAACATGTTCATGCGGTGTGTCAGCGAGCTGGTGATTGAAAGTCGGGAGGTGTGTGTCTGGCACGGAAATTTAAAGCGCATGCAAATATTAATGTGCTTGGAATCCTAATCTCTCTCTCTATGCAGTTTGACATGCTGCTGGGCAGACTGGAGAAAGATGGAACCCGAAAGGTAGACTGTACAAGGGACTTGTATTTGGTGGGTTCTGTGGCTGACGATGCTTCTTCTCATCTTGATCATTCTTCACTATTCCTCCAGCCAGGTGTGATTGACAAGTTTGCAGGAGACACCCGAGCGATCATCAGTAAGGTGGCTTTGGAGGCAGAGAACAAGGGTCTGTTTGAGGAAGCAGTTAAGCTATATGAACTGGCCAAGGTGAGCTCAGCCAGGGGACACGCCTGTCCCGAAGGATCCGGCACCACACCAGTCTTCTGACCACCACCTGTCTGTTGGTGTCTCCCGTCTCTGCAGAACCCAGACAAGGTTCTGGAGCTGATGAACAAATTGCTCAGTCCTGTAATCGCCCAGGTCAGCGCACCGCAGTCCAACAAAGAGAGGCTGAAAAACATGGCCCTTGCTATCGCAGACCGGTAAGATCGAGTTCACCGGATCGCCATGCAGTTTTGTTTGACAGGGTCTGTGGCTGTGGACAGACAGAAGCTGAACAGGAACCAGAATCAAACCCCACTTAATGATTTAAAAAGAACATTTTCATAAAGCAGCACAGAACAGTAAATGAATTGGAGACTTGTTTCATGGTTTCGCAAGTATGGATTGGTTATAAGATTAATTTTATTGATCCCAGGGGGAATTTCTTGTGCATGCAATAGCAAAGAACATAAAGTGCACATAAGCAAACACAGCGCAGAACCAGAAAACCTGCCAAGACGGTGCATGCAGTGTGGACAAGTAAACTGCAAACAGATTTAAAGAGTACAAAGTGCAAACATAATATCTTGCAAAAGAATATTGAGTAAAATCAAAAGTAAAATATCTAAGGGTGTATGTATAGCTCTAAGCTGACCTCTGTCCTGCAGGTACCGATCCCAGGGCGTGGCAGCAGAGAAGTCCGTGGATAGCACCTTCTATCTGCTTTTGGACCTAACGACGTTTTTTGACGAGTACCATGCCGGCCACATTGACCGAGCTTATGATGTGAGTGGAGGGGGTGGACCGTACCCCGATGGTTAGGAACTGAGAGGCAACCCTGTGAGTAAACGCTTCTGCCCTCTTCCAGGTGATGGAGAGGCTAAAGCTGCTTCCCCTGAGCCAGGACAGCGTTGAGGAAAGGGTGGCTGCTTTCCGTAACTTCAGCGATGAGGTGGGGCTCGATCGCCATTGATTTAAGGCATGCAGTTCTGTATTATTAATAATACATGTACCCAGCATCAGAAGTTCACAGGGGAAAAGGGCAAAAATGGCAAGAAATCTCAATGCCCTGAAAAACTGTGATCGAGGGGCAAAATTTGCCCCCAAGATTTCAGGGGGGGCAAAAAAACATATAGTTACATTAAGCCAATGTTTCCAGTCCTCACGCAGGGTGTCTGCGCGGTAGTAAAAGGTAGTAAATGAAATCAGACAAAATTAAGGCCCTTGAAAGGTATTAAAAGGTAGTAAATGGAATTTGACTTGGTAGTAAATTTTTCATCATCCATCTCAATATATTATGAGTTTCCCATTTGTCTACGTGTTTTAACTTCATCTAATTAATATATTATATACATGCTAGCAGGACCTGAGTCGGAATTAATAGCCTATCAGAGTGACGCTGACGCCATTTCTCCGCCTTTTACCTCAGTTGTGCCAGGGTGATTTAACGTGTTGATATTAGGAGAGCCTCTAAAATTAGCTAGTAGGCACTTGGCGGTGAAATGGGGAAATGTAAGTTTTCTAAAAGTTGGCTTGATAACCCATCATTTAAAGACTGGCTTAAGCCGGTCATGGGGAATGACCGGAAAGCATTCTGCAGTACAGTGGTACCTCAGTTCTTGAACTCATTATAACTCGAATTTCTTAAAAGTCGAACGAACCAGTTCAAAGAAAATGTACCTAGAACTCGATCTGAATCTCAGAAGTCAAACCGTGAACGCCGACCTAAGATAACTTGTACGCGCGGGGAAATGAGTCACGTGGCATGTCTCTCAGCGGAAACAAAGGGTAACGCTTCAGTCTCAGCCTCGCATTCGCTGTGATAGCATCATGCATGTTTACACTAACTGAATACATATATTTAGACAGTAAAATACATTTAGACAATGAGACAGTAACAGTAATTATAATAAAGATTTCTTATTTTAATATTAATAATAAACCATTAATACATTTAATTATAATAATATTGTCATACCCAGCGGGGACGGAACGGAGACAAAGGCGCAGATGTCAGGGTATCGGGGAATACGGGGTTTAATTACAGGTAAGGCAGGCAAAACGCAGACGGACAATATAGTGACCGGACTGGGGAAACAAACTGAAACGCGGACTAAATGCAGAGGACTAATGACAATATCCAGAAACACTGATCACACAGGGATTCCACATGGGGTTAACGAGGGGGCGTGACACACGGAAGGAACGGACCATCGGAGCAGGACACATTGTTTGGATACATTTATTTTCTTACTTTACAAATTACTGTTTTGATAAATGTGCTTAGATGTTTTTAGTACAGTATATGCTCTTGTTTTATCCAGTTCATTTTGTGTTTAAATGCTAAAAAAAAACATATTTCGTTGTAATTTTTTTGGGGCCGGGAACCAATTAATTGGTTTTCCATTATTTCTTATGGGGAAAATTCGATCACAACTCGATCCGGAGTTCTGAACGGATTAAATTCGAGTTCTGAGGTACCACTGTATATGCAAAAAAAACTCTGAATGTAACCTGGAACAGCGTTACCGCGATCAAATCTCACCGATAATCCGCCAGTCATCAGCAGCGGATTCGCGTGCGGGGTGAGCAGTTCCCTATTTCATTGTTCGGTGATGCTACACGGACCGGGCAAATGCAAACATAAGGTCAGCTATGAGCACAAACATTACCATCACACCACCTCAGCAGCAAACTAGTGCGACTAGCACCACAGCCGCTGCAGCAGACAGACAGCAGACCTATATTACTGTTACCAACGTCGGCTCTGAGCTGAAGTTCTCTGGTGCCTGAACACTGCAGCTAGGCATCATTCGTACAATTCGAATGAGGGTGTTGGGGAACTATTCGCAAGCATGTTCACTGACTCCCATATATCATTCGGTTTGGCATTACGCCACATTTTAAGAAATTACTTATACACAATACAGGTATTGTATATACAGATAAAATTGTTAAATTCTCTTAAGATTTATTCTGAGACATGTTCAAACTTTTATCTCACTTTGCATCAACCAATAAATACCAATGGTTACCACTCATTACAATTCCATGCTCTCTTTGGACAGTTTTTTAATCCACAGTGTAAGTTATTGTTACAAGTTACCTCGTGATGAAATAATTCACTAATTTAGTCTGTGTGTATGAGAATGTGTGTCTGTCTTAGTGTGTGTGTGTGTGTGTGTGTGTGTGTGTCACATGACACATAAAATTTTATCAATGTTTATGGCTGTTGTCAAGTGTCATTTGTTTTAAGAAGTGTCAAGTTGACTTTATTAGGTGGGGTTAAGGGTTATGGTTAGGATAACCCAAGGGCTAGAGTTTAGGTAAGGACAAATGAAACTCAACATGGCACTACAAAAAAACAAATAATATTTAATGACAACACTTAATAAAAACAGTTAAACATTAATTTACCTAATATTTATGATGGGTATGAAGATTTACCTCCCCCCCCCAAAAAAAAAAGGTCGCTGCCCGATTGTTGCTAGTAAAAAAAAAAATATTGTGGAGGTAGTAAAAAAGATACTAAAAGGTAGTAAATTCAACTGTAGGATTCCTGCATAAACCCTTTCACAGCACACTGGTCAGATCCACATTCTTGTTTTATCCCAGTTCCCAGTACACGTTTAAGGTTTTTAGAGCTCCTGATTGCTTGGGTCAGGTTTTCTGGGAAGCAGGATAAAACAAAAATGTGTATCTGTCCAGTTCACCCCGAAGACTGGTTTGGGAGACACCGCATTAAGCCATATATTTTTATTTTTTTACACTCATACAACACCGTGGTTCACATTACTTACGTACATAACTTTATGTATCATGTAACTGTAACTACATACTATGTAACGTTGTTACCATCCCTGGCAGTGGCCAATTTTATTTTATAATGAAGTCGTTCATCCTCAGACATGTAAGCCAATCTCTCCCAGGGGTGTGACTATGGGTCATGTGTTCATATAACACTTCGCTACCCACCTATCAACAACTTCCACAGTCCCCTAGGAATGGATAGTATATCGAATTATCACGATATATCGATACATTTTTCAAATGATATAGGATGACACGGTACCGTTTAACTCGATATACCTTTTATTGTGTGCTTTAACCAATATTTCTTCCTGGTTGTAAACAACGTGAGATCTTCAGTCGTGACATTGCACAGAATCCCAGAATTCACAGTCAGGTGTTGTTGGCTCATTTGACCTGTGTGTGTCTGACCCTGCAGGTACGACACAACCTGTCAGAGGTGCTGCTGGCCACCATGAACATCCTGTTTACACAGTACAAGCGGCTTAAGGGGGCCGCGGCAGGGACTCCAGGTCGACCTCAGCGCTCTGTGGAGGACAGGGATTCAGTGAGTTTATGGGGATGTCGTGCCTTTGTGGTCTGGGAGACAGAGCTTTTATGAATTAAAAGACCATTGCATATACAGCCCTGAAAAACTGAGAACACACTATCTGTTTTTTAAATAAACTGCATTTTTATATCCTGGTTTAATCCTTGTTCTGCTGGCAGAAGGCTACACTGAGAGACAGGTTACTTCCAGACTCAAAATCTCTAAGACTGCAGTACACAGGAATAAGGTTATGTGGGGGACACTGGGAATGTCCAAGAATAGAGGGTGGAGGCAACTTCCTAACGCCAATGCCTCATGAATTGAAGGTTGACATCAAGTGACCTTCAAAAAGAATGGGAAACATTAAGTGGTGTGAAGTGAACTGTTAGGACAGTAGATAACGGGCTACTAGACACAGGACTGAAGTTCCTTTTAGCAAAGCAGAAGCCCTTCATTAATGAGAAACGGAAGAACCAGGCTGCAGTTCGCAGAAACAAAATGTATATTTTGCACAGGTGAATACCCATAAATTGACAAATGATTGAAAATGAAAATCTTGCTGTGGTCTCTTAATTTTTCTAGCACTATATAACCAAAGGAGGAAGTGCAAGTGCCCTCTGCACAAGCACTGCAACATCTGGCCTTAATTGTGTTAAAGATCCATAATGTATTATTTCCTCCTGCAACGGTAAATTTGTCACACAGCTCACACTGTATGTGAGCACAGATGCAAAGTTCAGCTTTGACTTTAAAAAGGCATCTTCTCTGCTCCTGTGTATGCAGCAGCTGCGCAGCCAGGCCCGCGTGCTGATCACCTTCGCAGGGATGATTCCGTACCGCATGGCAGGTGACACGAATGCCCGGCTGGTGCAAATGGAAGTCCTGATGAACTGATCTGCAGCCACCCCCAATGCATACCTGTTTTTCTGCTTTTGTTTTTTCACCCTCCCATGTATTTGCTAATAAAATAATCACACTTTGGTTTCCTTGGCATCATGTTTTACCGGTTTTTTGGTTTTGTCTCACCGAAATGGCTCGGTGGCTATCCACCATCAGCATGTCAGGTATTTGTATGTATTGTGGTGCCTTCATTTTATCAGAAACCTATCAATGCACTCCAGAGCAGTTTGTCAAAGTATTAGGTATATAGGGAAAACCCAAATTATTTTCTGACCCTGTCACTGGCCGATTTGATTTTGTGTGTTGATTTTTGGGGCGGGGGCACTTTTGCCTGGCACCTCCAGAGCTGGGGGGCTTGTATCCTGCCTCTGTTTTTGGAGTTTACATATTCCTCCTGTCTGTACTCCAGAGATGTGCAGCTAGGCTAATCAATGTCTCTAAGTTACTCAGAGTGCATGTCCGTGCATGTGCTCTTAATACCTGGTGTAGAATGCTGGCCCGCCAGGTGACACAGACCAGGATAAGAGGTTGGAGGATGGAGAAAGACTTGGACATTTGCTAAGATCCCAGAAACATCTGTGATTTTCATTGACTTGGTCCGATTTTGCAGACATCCTGTGGCAAGTTGACGTTAAAATCAATGAAAATCTGTTCATCGGTTCTCTTGCTGGTGCTGTGAGGAAATCATTAAATGTGTTTTGTTTGAATTATTGGTTAAATCAGTCATCTCCTGTGCATCAGTGGTGCAATGTGTGGCACTATAACAGCATCCTCACTAGATAGTGACCTTAAGATGATGTGCATAAATATCAGCTGAGGGTTTAACTTGGAAGCCACAGCGTAGCACGCCAGGCTGATGAGAGGAATTGAGGTGCTGGGAGTCCTCTGTTAGAGAGGCTTCTGTCTGTAGCTACTTATAGGCAGCTGTTACAAATGGAGTTTTCAGATCAGGAGTGGGAAACCTGATCCATGGAGGGCAGAGTGTGGTGTGGGTATTTGGGATGACCCCTCAATCAGCCAATCATAAAATAGTGGTTCTCAGCTATAGTCCTGGGGAGGCATCCCAAAAACCCGGAATAGGTTCGCCACCCCTGTATTAATATGTTTCACTGTGACCATCAGAGGGAGACAACCGACAACAAGTACAGCCACCATTCAATTTGCCAGTTATTCTCATAAATGCCCGTTTTCGGCCACAAATTGTTACAATGCTATTTTGATACAACACTCAAGTCCAAATAACTACCAAATTGTTAACCATTTGACGGTTGATTTACTAGGGGAATACCTGCTCATCCAGTCCTTTCACCGATAGGCAGACAAACCCTATATGTGATTCTCTGGGCTAAAACTGTCTATCTAGTGTAAAGGTACAACGGCAGAGCCGTTTGGTTTTTATGTATCGCAATTACACAACTTTATACCCCATCATGAACATAACAAAAAGTATACTTTCACTTTCGAATGCGCGCAGGGATGAAAGGCGCTGGACGCCCTGGTATGTTTGTACATTTTGTTGTTTATTGACGTTGTTATATTTCATTTTAAACCTGTTATACTTATATATTCGTTTAAGGTCAATGACGGACGCTGCCAAGTCCATTGAAACGTTAGGGCTTGTTCTGGCGGTAAACAGCAAGGATGCACTACGCATTTCAAAATATCCCGAAAACAAGCTTAATAATATAGGCGATATCTATGACCTTGCGTGCGTTTCTTTATGAAACTGACTGGGTTCGAATTAAGAAATTGTATTATAAGCGTAAACTGCATTTGTCCTACTTGCCGATTTAAATTACTCTTAAATATGTAATTTGCGATTACTTATTGAAAGTTGTACATCAAATTTCTGTATTGAATGAATCGTGTATCATAGTACCTGTTTTACGGCTACTGTGGGTGCCGCACTGGGGTTATACAGGGACGTGTTAAAAATGTATTACACAACAGAGTCGATTTCCCCAATAAACGTACCACCGATAGAGTTTTTCTGGATACACAGCCAAAGACATTATATTATATATTTTCCACAGGCCTAGACATTTTAATGCGCAGATAGTTAAAACGGGCCAATTTCACGCCCGTTTCTTGGTTTCTCTTTTTATTCCGCATTAAGGATCGAAAATAACCCAGCGGTGTCTTTCAAGTTGCGCTATATATTACGTATCATCCATTAGAAAATAAAACCACCCACCTTATTTTTACAAATAGCCTGACCATAGTCTACCTTGAAAAGGATTGCGTTAATTTTGAGTCCAGGCGAGAAGTTGGCACCGTACACTAAATAATAACTGGGTGTAAGGAGAAAAGGTCCGAACGCAAGAATATTAGATTTACGCAACAAGATTGTTTATACACATGCAATTGAAACAAACAATCTTCCAATGAAGTTTCTTGTAATATTTTCATGTAGTTTTTTAGCTTAGAATATTTGAAATATGCGCAACAGACAACTTGTTCCCGTTTGCTTTGCTAATGTCACACTGTTTGTTTCTTACCACCAGTCACCTTACGTGTCACCTATCACTATATATGTATATATGGGTGGTTATTCTCAATTAGTGTGTCTTTAGTGTCCTCAGTATAGTGATTAAGATTTCATATAGATATTTCACACTTTTTTTTTCAAGTTTTACTCTTTAAATAAGTTTAATGAGATTTGTTTTAAAATACATTTTATAGGCTACGCTCCATAGCTTCTTATTTGATGGGATGCATGGGGATTTTCACATGTCCCGGATGGTGCTTTTTTATCTTCATTTTGTATTTTAAGTGATTAAATAAAAATAAGCTACAAATTTTCTTTCACCTTGAAAAATGCTATTATTTCTAGCGATATGTTTCTACCGGCATTTCTGTTAACACAATGCATGGAAATACTATGATTTTTTTTGTTTTGTTTTAGTATATGACAGGGTGGACACAATTTGTGGCTGAATTGTAAAAAGCTTCACACACATTTTCGGAGCAGTTGAAGGTCTAATTAAGTTAAAGGTCTAAAAAATAATGCCTAGGGTTCCAAAGGCACTCTATATTCGTGGCTTGCCTACATGAAATGTAAAATCCAATTGAAATTAAAATCAATAAGAAATCAAAACATTAAAAAACAATAAGAAAGCACTACTTAATAAAATATATGCATTGTGTATTTCATTTATTCACCATGATTATGCTGAACCAATATACAAAATATTCATTCTGAAATGTTTTGAAGAGACATTTTGACATTTTCTGTATTTATTTTACTTTCACAAACTGCTGTTAACTATAAAAATTGGTCAAAATCCACAATATTCCACCCTTCTTGGATTTCGGTCTGTTGTTTGAACAATTCAAGTGAACCTATACAACTAACAGCAGTGTGTGACTCAGTGGGCTAAGCTTGTGTGTCTGTAATCAGAGGGCTGCTGGTTCAAACCCAGCCTCAGCATGTCTGTGGGTCTTGGAGCAAGGCCCTTAACCCCCAGCTCCCTTGGTGCCACTATGGGTGGCTGCCCTTTGTGGACAACTTACTCAATTAAAAAAAAAAGAGCAAGTTGAGGGAGGCGTAAAGACTATTTCCCCAAGGGGAATCAATAAAAGTATTGATTATTTATTACTGACAGTTGCCTGTGACTTGGCTTTCAGATGATGTCTCATTATGGAGGAGGTTAATGATGAGGCGGACGTCCTCTCAGTGCTGAGCCAAGTAGCATCGGAGCTGGTTGAGGTGCTAGTCGGCCAACCGGATGATGTTCAGACCTGCCTCCTCAGACACATGCAGCATGTTCCCAGACCCGCCCAGACCGGGGACCAAAGAGATTGCATGCTGCAGCTGGTGGATCACTTCAGAAATGCACAGCCTGCTGAGTGCCGACGATTCATCCACACCATTACTATGGTGTGTGACAACCTGCCCATGGCTCTGGAGTCACAGCTTTTGTCAGCAGCTGGATGTGGTAAGACAATATGTGTACTTTGTCACACAGAGCTGCTGAGCAGAAGGATGCACAGTCAGGTATAGTATGATGCAGATTCATGAGCAGTCCTGTGTAACAGGAGCAGCAGAGCAGATGAATGAACAGCCCTGTGTTACATGGAGCTGTAGAACAAATGGATGAACAAGAATGTTAATTAAGTAGCAAGCATAACTGGTTTTTGGGGCTGTACTATAGCATGCATCGAGATCCGAGATCCAGTTCTGACACTTCTCTGTTTCAGATGACCCTCACCTTGCTCCTCCCCAGAAATCCAAAATGCCAGGTAAATTTACCAGTCAAGAAAAAAAAAACCTTTCCTCAACTAACAATGACGACCTTTTTGCATACAAACCATTAGACACCCAGACTATTTCTCTATAAAATAGGGGGAAAAAATGGAGAAGTTGTGGTTCCAATCATGATGCTGTTGTGCTGTGGATCAGTTAAGCTTCTATATAGAAAAAAAAACTAAGTGGGGCAGTTTAAAGTGAAACTTCAAAACAGCACACGTGATGTTAGTCATTGATGTGCGACTTATGCATGTCGATAAAGGCACCATGATGCCTTTGTGCCAATTAAGTGTGTTTTAAATCTGCTGCAGAATACAGAAATCAACAACCTGCTGATGATTGTCCAACGCCTTTGAAACAGAAACGAAAATGGAAAGGTAAGCACTGCTCAACACAATCCAAAACATTACTGGGGTGCCTTTGTATGATTCTGAGGTAACTCTCAAAACAAGAAAGATTATATTTGATGTATTATACTTTTTGCTGCCATACCCTGTAGGTGCCTTTATTTTACCCTGATTCTACAGAATCCTGGAGGGGCCATAGGCAGTTTTTTATGTGATGGATCATTTTCTGCAGTTGAAATTAATCCTAAATCAAGCTCACAAAATCCCCAAAAACTGAGCTCGATTTACTTTTTTCCTCACTCTCAATTTGCGATTTTGAACTCTCAAATTAATAAAAGTGTGAGTCAAACTGTGTTATATTCCAAACTAGTGTTTTAAAACTGTAGTCAAGCCATCCCCGTAAAATTTTGATATGTGCAAATACTATACAAGTGTTGCATACATATAGTGGATTTTACTGTGTGCAGTATATAGGTCTGAATGTCTATAACAGGGGAGCTGGAAATAGTTTGATATTGGGGGGAACGTTATAATTTAAACGTAAATGTTTGCTTTTCTGAAAGGGGGGGGGGGTGTTGTGGAGACAAGATAATTTTTGTAGGGGTACATGTCCCCTACCTCTCCTCCTGGTTCCTTGCCCCTGACTATAACCCCTAATTTTCACAGGAGAATTGCATGAAGTGTGTAGGTTTGAATGTCCATTACCCCTAGTTTCCACCATAGAATTGAGTGAAACTTTATTTGGCTTTACTTGGCTACTTGTCAGATATTCTAACAATGTTCTCAGTTTGGAGTGGGAGACATATTATGCCTTATGACAAACATTGTAGCAAATGAATTCACTACCATAAAACCCATAGTATTTGTGCACTTAAAACTATGTGCGGATGACTTAGCCGCAGTTCTGAGACTCCAGCTTCTAGCATTGCGGGCATGTTTTCTTTAGGCAAGAACACAAATAACCTAAATGTCAGCACAACTTAATTAATGTAAGAACCTGGAATAGCAAATAAAGATTTTGTTGATTTAGTATTTCATGGGCATGTTAAACTAAATTGTGCACATAACTTAGCACATTTTGCACACAAAATAAAAAAAAATCAGTGCATGGTCCCTCTGTTTGTCCCAGTTTTGTCCCAGTGCCCTCTGTGTGTGTCTGTCTGTTTTGTCTCTCACACCTTCCGCGTCTGTTTTACTCCAGACTCGCTAGAGACGTACCACACATCCATTAAGAAGGCCCTGCTGCAGCAATACGAGCAGGTGATGCAGGGTGTAGTCCGGAACGTTCAGCTGGAACAGATACGAGTCAGCCTACGCAGAAGCCCGGGCCGGTCCAAGGAGGCTGAAGAGGGAGCCACAGAAAGCATAGTCCCAGTCGAGTCTTTCTTCACCGCACAGCCAGGGGTCACGGTGCTGCTTGGCCCTGCTGGCTCAGGGAAGACGCTGGTGACACACTATGCGGCCCGGCGATGGGTGAACAGCAACCTGCCAAAATCTGTCCATTTGCTCTTCTTCTTTGAGTTCCGCCAGCTCAACATGCTCCCAGACACTTTGTCGCTTAGTGACCTGCTATTCCACTTCTTCCTCTCACCTGACCAAGAGGACAGTGAGAATATCCTGGCCTTTGTACTTGAAAACCCCAAGCAAGTGTGGTTAATCTTTGATGGTTATGATGAATTCCGCTCCAGATTCACCCCCCCAGCGAGGCCCAGTGACCCCTTCGACCCCCAGCAACATCTCACAGTGTCGGAGCTCTTTTCTGGTCTGTGCAGTGGCAGGATACTCCCAGGCTCTTCAATAATGGTCACTTGTAGGGCTCGGGACATGTTGGACCTGCCCGATAATGACCTGAGCCAGGTGGGCGAGTTGCTAGGCTTTGACCAGCAGCGTGTTAGGGAGTACGCTGAGCATTACTTCCAGGGGAAAACTCACCGTGAACACGCAGTAAACGTCCTGTTGAAAAGTCGCCACCTACTTTCCATGAGCAGTATTCCAGCTCTTTGCTTCATGTGTTGCGTCTGTTTGGACCACCTGTTTTCTGACAAGCCCCACAAGCCCAACTTACCTGAGACTGTCACTCAGGTGTATATCCAGATCCTGAATGCTTTCATTAGTCGCTGTCCAGGCAGCATGTTGACAGGAAGCTCTGTGCCCCCGCTACAGAGCCATAAGGTGGAGGTGCAAGAGCTGAGTCGGTTGGCACTGCAGGGGCTGGATGAGCACCGCGTTGTGTTCTGGAAAAGTGATATCCCACAGAACATCCTGGACTTTGCAATGGCAGCCGGGCTCCTGTCTCCACTGAAGCTAAGGCAGGGTGATGGATCATGGCGTGAGGGATGCGCTTTTGTGCACCTGACGATGCAAGAGTTTCTGGGTGCACTGCACCTGATGACCAGTGATGACACAATTGAGACAGACTTGAGGAAAAGGCTCAACCTCAAGACCCGCTGGACTGCCAGAACCCAGCCCAAAACAGTATTTACTGATTCCCTCCAACTGTTTTTGTGTGGATTGACCTCTTCAGCCTGCTGCCCATATTTGCTCCAGCTGGTTAGGGGTTCCAGAGCCCAGAGCTGCATGCATCACCGGCAAGCTGTGGTGTTGAAGGTTCTCCAGAGTTTGGCAAACAGCGCCAGCCTGACCGGTCCCAAAGCACTGGAGCTTTGCCGCTGCGCCTATGAGACTCAGAATCTCCAGCTTGCGGAGACTTTGGCGTCAAGATCCCGCTTTGAGCTGCGCAATATCAGACTAACACTCATGGATATGGAGGCTCTGACTTTCGTTATTTCAGCTGCTGGGCAGGGCGTTGGCCTCGACTTTGGCGGCTGCTCTATGGAGCTGGAGTGTCTGGAGGTCCTGGCCAGCTCTGGGAACATTTCTTATCTCATGTGAGTCACTCAACCGCTAGTAAATAATCTACTGTGCTGTCAGTCACTCAGTGAGAGTAGCAAAAATACAGCACTGGAAAAAATTAAGAGACCATTCTATATTTTTTCAAAATCTGCATTTAAAGTGCTGGTTTAATCCTGGTTCTGCTGGCAGAAGGCTATGCTGAGCGGCAGGTTGCTTTCAGGCTCAAAATACAATTATACATGCATGCAGATTATGTTTGATTTATTTAAGTGCTTGGTTACATACACTATATGGCCAAAAGTACATGGACACCAGTTTGATCAACATTTCATTCAGAACCAAGGACATTATAAGATGATGTTGTTGCACCTTTTGTTGCTATAACAGCCTCTGTTGTTCTGGGATGGCTTTCCATTAGATATTGGAATATTGCTGGTAGGACTTGCTGCTGTTCAGGTAGGGTATTGATGTTGGTTTATCTGGTCCCTTTCTGTGAGCTTGTGTAGTACCACTTCAATTGAACTTGGTCCCAAACATTTTGACCTTCACAGTCACTTGTTGGAAAGATGACATTCTAGGGAAAATGAAAAGTCAAAACCTCTTCTGTACAACCACGTAATTTTTGTTTCAGAACATTCCATTGACTGTATGCTTAATTATGCAAGTCTTAATTTGGCAATTGCTCTAATAGGGGTTTCCAAATACTTGAGGCTGTATAGTGTAGAGGTCGACCAATATTGAATTTTACCGATACCGATAGCTAGGTTGGTCCGTACTTGCCGATAACCGATAGTTCCGGGAATCAACTATCGGTGCCGATTAATCGGCA